GTCTTTGTATTTCGCCGCGGTTAGCTCCTCGCGCTGTTGATGATGATCATTAGCATTGGAAAATATACTATTTTCTCAACAAGAGCGTCAAGGAAAGAACCGTAATACCTTATCGCGAATAGATTTAATCATGTTCCCATAAACCACCTTCAGGGGTATACACAGCGCAGCAATGGCATGACTACTTGCAGGATCGAAGTGACCGATAGATTTTCCAGTTGCTATGGCTTCATCGAGGCTTTGGAGTGCTTCTGAGGAACGACTCTTGACGTCGTCTAGACGTTCAAGTGTAAAGTAGCGGACGGTTTTGTCTAGCCTGAAAATTCTCATCCCATTGTTGAAGATGGAGCTGAGGAAGGTGATGGTGCTTTGGCCGCGGGGCTGGAGATGTTCTGTGCCGAGGGCTGGGTGGGCGAGAGTTATGGAGGGGAGAGTTAGGATAGTAGAGAGGAGTGCGAGAGTGAGGATTAAGAAGCGCATTGTGGATGTAGTGTTTCAAGTCAATTGGCATAAGGACATAGGAGACTGCTGTGACGATATGGCTCTCATAGGGACTATATAACCTGTCATGCCTGTGTGGGTTCCACGGAGATGTGGTTCATGATAGTAGTAAAATGGAACACTGAATATGATATTGGTGCGACACAAGTAACCATAAACCAACATACCCTATACTTCAGCGGAACTTGGGTGCAGGTCCTGCGTATACGATGACATACGTGCTACTACAATGTTGCTAATCAAACCCAGATCCTGAACTCCAATTACTGGGCCATGCAGACTTCTCTGTAGTATTTACCCCGGATTTACTGGGATTAGGCTCAGATTTATCCTGACTAGGCTGTACATAGTTAAGATTACCCAGTTTTTGAGTGACACACCACCGCCCGGGCTTTCGTAACGGTCCGTTCGGACTTTTTGTGGAGGACAATGGGTAGCACTGAATAGTCGAGACGTGCCAATCGATAATTTGGTTCTCTCTTCTTACCAGCAATCTATAGGTTCCTGAGAGCTCCCTCATCACGATCAATCAATCATGACTGCCGCCTAAAGATGCCTCAGGCTACTTCATATCAGCAGTGCCAAGCTGAATTGGAGGATGGGCGGCGGTGTGGAGTCCGTCAGATCCTTCGCAGGGGAGAAACCCCACGCACAATGGGGGCCGTCTGCCATGTGTTACTTGAAAGCTTGAGCATATCGTATGGTGGCAGGGCACCAACGTGACCAGCCCGTGAGAGCGAACACCACCGCAGTGGACCCGGGTGTGAACATCCTCGATTTTACAATGAAGTTACTTGCTCGTAAATCTCCGACTTGCTCTCCAAATAACTCCAACTAGCAACTTGTAAAACTTGTGAAACATGGTTTACCAGCACACGAGATCATATGGAAGCCAATACGTGTGGTGTTGTCCACCAACAAAAGACGCAGCTAAAAAAAGAACCATGTAAATCCGAGATTATGCATTACCCCTCATTTTTCAAATTTTCATTTAAGTGCGCTGACTCCGGAAATTCCCTCCCCGGGCAGGAATGGAACCAACATCCGGTAATCAGATGGGAGATTGAATTCGGGAAACCGTATTAATAACCACCCGCCGCTGATGGGAACAAAGGGTCTTGGACTTGGCTCCAGCCCTACAGCCCTACAGCCCTATACAAGAGCTTGGCAAGCTTGGCAGTATGGAGAAAGTGGTTCGATGTCTTTGTTATGAACATATAGGCTGTTCATGGAATAGAACTCTCGTTCAATTGATACAGGCGAAGCCTGGATATTGTATGTGCAGTGGGAACCTGAGACAATGTCGCCTGAGAAGGTAAGCCTGCAGGACGCAGTACGGTACCAGTACCGGAAGACTCGGAGAAAGATAAGAGATTGATCGGGGTATGATCGGGGTACGCCGTAGGAAAGCGCGGTTAAGGGGGAAAGCAGCATGAGGAAGGCATTAAGAAGATCAAAGGCGTACTATGCATAGCGGTCGCCATGCTTTTGTGTCACCTGGAAGCAATTAGACATAATGGTCATGATGATTGGACACTCATCATCATGATCAGCGTGGGATCTGTAATAGGCCGATCCCTCACAGCCTCGTAAGCCCGAGATGATGGATAAACCCCCAAACACGAAACCATGCCACCGATACTAAATCGAGCGATGATAGCCGATGCAGGCTGCAAGAATTACTGGACTAGTCCGTTCATAATCTCACCGGTCGGGGAGGGTCGGGGGAGAAAAACCCTCCGCTATCCCGCCCACGTTGCAAACCTTGCGACGTATAAAGCCAAGCCATCCGTTCGCCACCATTATCTGATGATCTGATTACACCATATCTGATTATCTCGGCCTTTGATTATCTGATTGATTGATTGATAGATGTTTCTGGAAGGGAATTTATCTCAACGATAGATTGCCTCCAAATGGCATCTCAGAAACAATGGAGCCGGATGCTCATTTTCACGACCGTGCTGCTGGCAGTTTCGGCGTTTAATTATGGGTTCAGCGATCAGGCGTTCTCTTCGTGTCAGGCTATGGATTCTTTTGCTCGTCAGTTTGGGGTTTATCATCCCAGTACCGGGAAATATAAGGTGAAGCCGTTGTTTACTTCGCTTTATAATAGTTTAAAGGCGGGGACGCAGATTGTCGGTGAGAGCCGTACTTTCCAGGGCTATGGAGTATTTGACTGATTTGTTCGCCATAGGTGTGTTCTTAGGAGGCTATATTAGCAATACTTATGGTCGGAAATGGTGCATCTTCAGCATGAACCTCTACGCACTAGGCAGTGCAGCAGTGGTGGTGAGCTCCAAAACAGACGCACAATTGTTAACCGGTCGCGCATTACACTGTCAGTATTTCCTCACATCTCCCAAATAAAAATCAAACCAACATCTAACCTCTATAGACATCTACCTAGGAATGCAACTAGCCGTAATCCCAACCACCCTCGCCGAACTCGCTCCCCGAAACGTCCGCGGCGCCATGGGCGTTCTATACTGGCTCAGCATCAAAATCGGAGGCCTAGTAGTAACTGGCATCGCACGAGGCACATCAGGCATTTCAACAAACGCCGCATGGCAAATCCCCTTCGGCTTGATTCTCGTCATCCCATTCATTTGTATCTGGCTCGTCTGGATAATACCCGAGTCCCCACGATGGCTGCTCCTCCGCGACCGACAGGAAGATGCACTGCAAGCGTTGAAACGATACCGATCGAAAAACACACCCGAACATGAGATACAAGAGGACTTTGACGAAATGGCGCAGAAAGTCACGGCCCAGCTGCAGAAGAAAAGCTTCAAGGATCTCTTCATTAAGGGGAATCGTGAACGTACGTTCGTTGTTGCCGCTGCAAACTTCTTTCAGCAGGCTTCGGGGCAGGCGTTTGCGAGTCAGTATGGGACGCTTTTCGTGAAGCAGTTGAAATCGGTCAATGCGTTTAGTGTCACGTTGGGTACTAACGCGACTGATATTGGGGCGTTGGTTATTTCGACGGCGTTGAGTGATGTGGTTGGACGAAGGTGAGTGAATGCCATCTTCTCTTTTTCTGATTCAGTGTTCACTGACGCTCGTTATCAACTGCAGAATGCTCTTCCACGTAAGCGGCTTCCTCGAAACGGCCTCCTTAATGACAATGGGCGGTCTCGGCACCGCAGACCCCAGTAACACCGCTGCCAAAGAAGGCATCGTCGCCATGCTGCTTCTTTACAGCTTTGGTTGGTCTCTTGCCTGGGCGCCGTTAGTGTATGTGCTCGGTGCGGAATTGCCTTCGGCCGGGTTGAGAGAAATGACTCTGCGAATCGCGTATACTGTGAAACTGATCACTGAGTACGTTCCCCTCCACGCATACCATTGCACAAATTTATTCCAGATCATGGAAATTGACGGACTATGATTGTCAGGTTCGCCGTGACTTTCTCTTACCCCTATCTCGAAACCGCAGACGATCCCGGTCATGTGGATATTGGTGGTAAGCTGGGTTTTATTTATGGATCACTGTCTGCTGTTTCGGTCATCTTTGGGTATTTCTTTATTCCAGAAACGAGGAAGTTAGAGTTGGAGGATATCAATAAAAAGTATGAGTCGTCGACGGAGAGTGAAGTGGAGCAGAAGGTTGAGTATCAGGTTGGATTGAGGGAGGTTGGACGCAGTGGTGGACCGAATTGATCAAACATCTTCCAAGAAAAGTGTTCAATGGTTAGAAGCTTATCGGATCAAATTTATCTGACTTTTTTCCCAAGTTCGGATTTTGTCATTTCCCTTCCTTGTTGATGGTTGAGGAACACCTACGCGTCGCAGCATCGGTCCATTTGTTGTGCGCCTTTGATTTACATTAAGCACTTTAATGATATCCATTCACCAACAAATGGGCCTATGGCGCAATTGGTAGCGCGTAGTAAGTTCACCTGCATCCAATCGGATTGCAAAAACATCCTCTAACAGATTTCCAACAGCGACTCCAGATCGTAAGGTTGTCCGATCGAGCCGGGCTGGGCTCATTATCTTTTTTCCCGTTTTTTTTGCTTCTCTATCCGCCGTCTGAGCCCCAAGAAAATCATGTTTTTATCGAAGCATATGATGCAAAATAGGAAAAGAAAAATAATATTCAAAAAGTTAAAGGGGAAATAGTAAATTTAAAGGAAGGAGAAAAGAAAAGAACGAGAAAAACGAAAATCAAGTTGGATAAACTCTGAACTTAACATGTACCCTCCAACATATATATTCAGAGGTGTGTTGTTACAGGTACTATTTCTAAAAACACAGAAAAATACTATATACTTCCCGAGATCGATATAATCCAGAAGAATTGAATTTTAAAAAAGAGATCTACCGACGAAATCATTGACGTAAGGTGTCTTATGCGTCTAACCAAACAGCAGTGTATATGTCATAAGCGAAATAATAGGTACTAGCATATCATCCTAACCACCGGATAGAGGCCCTGCCGCCGTCGACATCAAGCTGTCTTCAATTCCATACGCACACAAATAACCATGACAATAACCTCAAAGAAGGCCCTCAGCTGCCAGAGCTTCGGTCCTGGACTTGCTGTTCGGGTCAAGGTAAGGCCTCTCTCCAATACCGACCGCCCGGTGTCCGAATCTCTCACCAAGGCCTTCATAATCAAAAGTAGCCGTGTGGAAAGCACTACGGTTATCCCAAATAGCTATCGAGTGTTAGTCCCAGAATAACAACACAACAAATGCATAGAACATACCAATATCATGTTCATTCTTCCACTTGAACCTGACTTGCAGATCGTGACTCTCGATAATAATCGACTTGAACTTCTTCAACAACTCCTCCGACTCATTCTGATTCAGCTCATTGATATACTTCGGGAACGGTCCCAAAGCAAAGATACTCTTCCACCCGGTCACCGGATTCGTCCGCACGATCGGATGAACAGCCACCAGATCCTCCCCAACATTGAGCGGACTTCCCCGAGGTTGAGTGTATATCTTATACTCCTTGGGGTTTCTCTCCGCTGCCTTGATGAAGCCGTCGCCCACGAACGTCGCTGTCAAGCCTTCGAAGAACTTTTGGTACGTTTTCGAAAACCGGTCGTAGAGCTCGTACCCAGATGCCCAGAGGGTGTCTCCACCGGTTTTGGGGAGCTGGGTTAGTCGGAGAGAGGTGTAGTCAGCTGGTGCCGGCTCAAACTGGATATCGGAGTGCCATTGCGCTGAGTCATAGCGACGGCGGTCGGGTTGGCGATCGTGGGCGAACATCTTCTTGCGGGCGAGAGAGCTGATCGTGCTGATTTCAGCATCTGCGGTGCCGAACTCATTGGTGTTGTTCAGCAGGGGGTGGATGTGCAGGGTGGAGGTGGAGGGTTTGCCGGTTAGTTGGCCTAGTCGATGGATGAGGACTTTCTGGAGGTCGTCGGTGAGGTTGGTTTGGGCGCGGAAGAAGACGACGCCGCGCTGGGAGACTGTCGGTCATAGTTAGTGATGGTGCTAGATACAGTTAGGGTAGATTGGGATAGGTACTCGTGATAGCAAGGTCGCGCACCAGCTCATCGGAGTTGGGAGCGTTCAGGAGATCATCGACGATATTGACGGTGGGGTATTCGCGGCCAATGATTGGGGTTGTCTCTTCGAATGCGAACTCATCCAAAGCACCACTGGGCTTCAGTGGAGTGGGATACCGTGGTTGGTCAATCGGGCCGTCCCCACTGGATGCGGGGTGCGAGTGAATGGGGAGATCTGCAGATAGTCCAGGAGCCATGATATTTACAGTGTAATAAGCCCGATACCAGTTGAATGAGAATGAATGCTCTGTGATTCTAATCTAGTTTGCAGTTGGGACATTGGCTGAGATATATGGAAACCGGGATGGGGTTGATAAGCATAAGTCCCGGCCATCACGCAATTGCCGTCCCGACTTGTGCAACAATTCTCCAACAACAACCACTCTCGTATCAGCATCGATGGCGAGATGGGAACCCCGCATCTGTCAAAGCTCTTGCGCAATCCTGGCTATGAATGATGGTTTCGTAATCGTCTCGACTCTGGTGTTAGTGGCTAGAGACACGCGTAGCCACGTCCGTGCGGAGAAGATCGGGTGGCTATTGTGCCGTCCGAGGGTCTCGCATATTCGGCTTTATCGGATATCCCAGATCTGCTCCTGGCATCGAGAATCTGCTCATAGGAAAGTTGTTTCGGTCTCTGAGCCAATGCATCTGAGCAGGTTGGCTTGTCTCAAAGCAAACCACCCGTACTTCTTGGACTAGAAGAGCGCAAGAACCTTGGGATATGATGCCTGAGCTCTGACGTTTGCTATACAGAGCAGTTAATATTGATCAAATCAGTTACTCTTCCCAGCCAACTCTTTTATTTTGTGTTCGCGGAGAATCTAACCTAAGCCAATCTTATCCCCCCACCCCCCAAATTCCTAGATAGATGAAAGCCTAGAACATACTGTTGCTCTGCTCTTCATTGTGCCTAGCGGAACCTGGCACCTTGTTGTTGTTTTGTTTTATTTCTTTATTATCATTGTTTTTCTTTTCATTCCCGCTCTTGGTATCAGCATATCATACACAGTAAAAATATCTAAATATGCAGATCAATCCAGGGGCTGCTGAGTGGCACAATGAATAGTGAGATAGCTGTATATTCGAGGCAGATTTCTCAGATATAGAAACTTCCTGCCGCTTTTGTCCAAGGTCGACAAAAGCTGAACATTGCTTCCCAGAAAGGCAAATTTTACATCAATTCGGGCAGCTCAATGACCAAACACAGTAATTTTTATCTTGACTCTGCTTTCCTACCCCAAGAAGATGCTGGAATCCCAGCCAGTGACATTCAACAGCGATATCATTCATCCACAGAAAAAACAATGTGATACTGAAATGCTAAGGAGATTCAAAAACCTCACATATTCTGGAACAATCATAGGCCCATAATCGATGAACTAAGGCCATTGATAGCATTTGTCATTCCTTGGATAACAGTATCGAAGGAAGAAGACTGACATTTATGAGGGGAGGAGCCGGCTATGAATTCGTTATCATAATAAAGCGAACGGGTGGCAGAGTACCACTCTGGTGATTTGAAAGACTGTATTTTCCCAAAGATCCCAGCGTAACTTAGTCCTGGGAAAGGAGCCTCGGGTTCTAGTGGAAGTAGATCATTAGAATGCATATGCTTCATTAGAGCTCCGAGCGTCATCGATCTGCACTCAAAGTCGCAACCCCGACTGCCGCTGAGAAGATCTTCACGCATTTTATTCAGACGGAGTAATATCTCATTAATAGCCCCACTCCTACGTTCATTCATTACGTCTGTGATAATATTAGAGATAAAGGCCATTTAGCGTTTGTGTGTCCTTACTGATGATGTTCTCAGGGATTGGAAGCCCACGGTTAGTAATCAAATGATCACAGTGTGTCATAACGTTCGATGTCGACGTTTAAAATTGTGAAGAGAGCTTGAAGAACGCAGAGACCCACAGCCACAGCATTAGATCCCGGGAATATGTTGCGGGAACCTTGTCTTCCAGACCATTGATCCACAGTTCCGTCAATATAGACACGGCATCCTTGCAGTCATAGTAGTTGATCAGAACAGCAATTTTGGCGAGCATCTCAAGAGAGAGTTTTCGAGGTATTTGGCTCTGTTGGCCGTGAATCGCGCGAAGGAATATTAAGAAGGCTTCAATATCCCAGCTCTCGGCAGCAATCTCAACGGAGCCTTTTTGAAGATAACTGACACTTTCCTTCCAATTACCAGTGAGTATGTTTCTGAAAACCGGGGACGCAAGTATCAAGTGCTTTGCGGAGACTTGAATGCGGAAACATTCCTCATCTGGTGTCTCGCTGAGGTGTCCATCTTCGGTTGGCGTCTCAGAAGGCTGTTCTTCGACAAGTCGGGGTCGCTTTTCGCGGTGTTGGTCCTCCTCCTCATCAGAGGTTTTTGAGTCGCTGTCAGAGTTCTTTTTCGCAGTTGTGTCTTCATGATCATCTGGTGCGAAGGGGGAGTTGGCATTGCTTAGGACTATGATGACATCTCCTTCGGGGTCGATAGTATGAGTTGGTTGATCCATGGTGTGTGCCGGGTGCTGAAGGGATCAGGTATCACTCGGTAAGGCAAAGGCAATAAAAAGAGAGAAATTTTGGGAAGGTAAGATGTAAGCTTAAGAATAATCCCAAGGTAGATAGTCCAGAGTAGTGTGCATTGATTAAATGAGGGCATTTAGTAAAGAGAAGCGCGGTAGTAGTTGTTGATTGAAAACTCTGTTGGCCGGAACTCATGCAGGCATGTTTATATCAGGGACTTTCCATTTCATGCATTCACTTGAATTCCTTAGAAGCGGTAGGATGACTTCAAAAGATCAATTGAACTGACCGCCCTGCAGCTTAAGTTCCGTGCCTCCTAAGCTAATGCCGCGGGACAGTAAGCAAGGAACTGGGCGGCGATGTTTGAGGCCCGCTGCTCAGATCATAACAACAGTGGACAATCATCCAATCAAACCAGCGGATCATTGTGGGGCATTGCTTATTTACTCCACTCCCAAAATAACAAACGGTACTTGCCTCTATCACTGTACTAGTATACTACTATCGACACCAGGCTACTGAGTAACTGTCAAAGTTAGCTAGAATTCTAGATTATGTATCGTGTATTTCGGAACGTTCCAGTCTTTGAGAAGCGCTGTATCGGTACAAGTTCAATTAATATACACTTCCTTGCAGAATTAACTAGACTCTATTACATGACGTGCGTATGCCGGAGTCGGCAGAAAATAAAAATATATGAAGAACATCATCCATAGTCATCGCTTTGGGCTGTTAACATGCCCATCTATAGCATGCCCTTACCAGATCCTGCGGCGAGACATCTTATCACGAATCGACATCAAAGCCTTGAGGACACTCGCATCATCCCTCGACTCAACACTCCGCTGGAAGCTCTTCGGCCACACGTCCTTGTAGGTCAAGTTCGTGAAGAGAGGCACGTCCACCTGGCAGATAGTTCCATCAGCGGGCAACGTGCCATTGGTGAAGTAAGCCCGGACGGCCTTGGCAGTGCAAAGAGAGGGCATGGACAGGGTAGTATGCTGTCACCAGTAGGTTAGCTGCTTGCTCACATGAAATGGAAAAGTAGAACATACACCGTATCCGTTCTGCTCGAGCAAAACACTTCCCTCGAAAGTTTCTGTCAAGTTCTTCGCTGCGGGAAGTGGAGTTGCGGGATCATAGGTGTTGCTCAGAATCAACACCGGGTTAGCTGTCTTGACTTCAAAGTCACCCGAGTAGCGTTCCTTGGCGAACATCTTCGGGTTCCACTGTGCGCATCTCATGTCTCCATCCGAGCCGTCACTTGAGATCTTGCTCAGGGCCTGTCTGGCCTTAATGTAGGGGAGGACCTCTTTAATGGTGGCTGAACGATGCTTGTCGGAGCATGTAATGGCCGTGCCGACCTCATCGGAAGCCGAAGTCAAGGAAGCCGATTGGCCGTAAGATTTGATGGTCTCGTATACCTCAGAGTTCCCAAGGATTGTTGTGTTCCGGGTTTGCACGTAGTAAAGAAGCTCAGAGGTCAAGGGCCAGGAGCTGGGGAGGTACATGGCTTCAAAGATGGTAGATTTGACGTCGCTCCAAGTCACAATGCCACCAATTTCGGGAATGGCAATCGGGTTGTACTTGAGGTTTTCGAGCATCAGGTAGATGGCAGCTTCCAAGTTGGCGGCGCTGGTGTACTCCTTGGCGATCGGGCACAGGTCCGGTGCGGCCATGCAGCCCGCACAGAAGCCCTCGAAAACTTTGTCGACGTCCACAACAGCTTGTGCGTTGCTATTCGGAAGGAATTAGCTGTCTGGAATATACCAGGTTAGGAAAGTTGAAAGGGCCACTCACTATCCATAGAGAGCCTCTCTGGGGTTATCCACTCCATCAAGCGCGACATATCCCATTCGTTCCGGGAACATAGCTGCCAGAACAGAACCGATTGTAGTGCCGTATGAGAATCCTAAATATAGTGTCAGTAAAAGCATAGTCTCGGTGCAGCCGTGATACATACCCCAGAAGTTCACCAAACTATCCTTTCCACTGAGCGCATCAGCGACCTGCACGATGTCCCTCGCAGCAAAGCTAGTCCCGATAAGGCTACCAGTCTGATTGTTCGTAGCATAGCATGCCTGTGCGATGTTTGCGTTCTGCGCCCAGATTTCTCCCAAAGCCGTGCTGGACGCTCTGCCGTCATTAGGGGCTTGGAGGGCGATGAGTTCACGGGTGGCATCATCACTATAGCACGAAAACGGGAGGGTGTCTCCAACGCCACTAGAAAGAATTATAAGTTATTATTTGTTCGCAACTTGAAGAACAACTGTCACGAACCGATTGTTAAAGGCGATCAAATCATTGTGACCACCGAGGATACTAGAGAACGAATGTCAGTCAGCATAAGATGCGATAAAGCTAGACAGCAACTTACGCCTGGAATTCCTCTCCATAAAGTCCGAGGCCCTCAAACGAATTCACACCAGGTCCTCCAAAGTTGAAAATGATAGGCTCCGAAACGGGTTTCTTGGTTGCTGGCCACTTGGCAATGTCGAGAGTCAGGGTCTTGCTGGAATTCGACTCGGTGTAGTCCAATGGGACGTCTAGTGTTCCGCAGACCAATGTCGGATAACTGGTTAAGTTGCAAGATCCTCTCCATTGGATTTTGCCCAACTCTGCTTGTGAGAGAGCTGCTAGCGAGGCTAGCGATAGTAGCGTGGGAACGAGAGAAGACTGCCTCGTCATGATGTCTGATGAGAGTAGTTCAAGGAATATAGAAGGTGATTGAGAGAAGCTTGCAGGTCCAAGACATGTTGAGAGCAGGTACCCCAAAGTTCTTTATAAGTTCATCTCACGCAGACCGCAATCTCCCAATGTCAAATTGAAACAATCGGAGTTAATTTTTCATGTTGAGGCTGAGTTCGGCCCCCAAATAGTCAGCCTTGTTGAAGTTCCCGCAGTCGCAAATTTATTTCCTGATCAGGCTTGAGGTGTTGTCATGAATCTCGACGCGTTCCACAGAGACTGGGGCTGAGGCATCCACCTTAGTCGACTAAGCCTCTAGCGGCCTAGTGCTGAGATGATCATCCCTGCAACAGGGATAGCCTCCCCGCATTTTCTCTTCCCGAGCATCTCAACTGCCTGTTCGGGGTTAGTCTATCAGGAAGAGTCGAAGAACACAGCCTACTCAATATGGCAATTCAGATGGGACCCCCTATGCACGTGTTTATCAGTCTCGTCAGAGTTACCTGTTTACCTCTTCTCCCCTGTATATTAGCAGTCTAAAGTTGGTCTTCGGGTTGACTTGAGTGAGTGGGAATCATTGGAAAAACAGGTAGACTCCAATGGAAGAACTTTGAGTTTCAACTGAATCGGTTCGAGCCTCTAGGTCCCATTTCGGAGATTGCGTATATTGCAGATCAGCGAATGTTGTGACCAAGATTCTTTTATCCGATGCCCAAAAAATTCAAGGTGAAATGAATGGGGTTGTTTAGTTGTTTAGCTCGCTAAGCCACTGATGGAAATCGAGCCCTGCTGTAATGGAGTGAATTCAAGGTTTCTCTAGGTAAATTATTTGAAACTAATTTCCACCATATTATGTGTGGCTAAGAAGGGGCAGTAGGGATATGATCAGGGTAAGTCTCTGGCCTTGTACAACTCAAGATATCTTATACATTCGTGATTGCTATCACCTTCAGGACATTTGCCATGATATAATGGCAGTGGTCAAACAAACCCCATACGAAACCTCGAGAGATGATGTGATCACCATATCCAATCTCTATATCTGGCTCACCCACTCCCATCTCATAATCAGTGGTTCCGAGGGTAATGTATTAATCGGTCTACCACACCACATCAGGGAACTCATGGAAGTATTCACACTTGATCTCCCTGTGGAGCTCAGTGAATTTGGCATGATGCAGCCTTGTCATACAATGGGTCCTGCATCCTCCCAAACATGGTTAGTAGGCACTTATGTTGCCTCCCCTTGCTTCATTCGAAACGAAGTCTCATGCGCTAAGCCCAGTGTGGCACTGCATGTCAGTGTGGGTTCTGCATGTGCTTCATATGCTGTTTCTAGACTTTTTTTTCCATGTAGCCAAGCTTTCTTTATCTTTGGTGAAGAAAAAGACAAACACGAACTAGCGCTTTTAAGTATAGCTTTTACGGTATCTCTTCATGTCTATAGTAGAATATAATCACGAGCGCTTATCACCGTGAGAGCCGAATAATTCTTCATGGAAGGAATAGAGAAATAAGCAGGTTCTTGCCTACCTCCGCAAAAGCCATACCACCATCACTGGAGATAGGCTTGGACGATCCGTCCAAGTCTAATGCATCTATCACCCACTGATCAATCCCTGATTAGAGCTGTGCATAACGTCCTGACATAGATAAGGCCTTCTACTTTCATGTCCCCTTACACAACATGAACACCCTTACCGGTTCTCCCCCGTGAAGACCTCACCCATAGCTCATGCAAATGTCGCACAATACCTAGTGACCTTTCAGGTGCCACTTTTACTCCAATTAAATTAGCCCATAAGGAAGGAACAATTATCCGCTGAGGGGGCATGTTACTCAAGAATGGCGGGCTGTTCTTACAGATTGTACAATGAAGTTGATCTAGTAATAGATTGACATGGTAGAACTCCTATCCATGTATAGCAAATGATTTCCAATCGAGTAGATAGAGGCTTATCGGCGGCGGAGATCTATGGTAGTGTATTATTGACATAAATACCCCCTCAAATTGTGCGTGAAACCACCTCAAAGACAACTCAAACTTCCTGATCTCCATAACCATGGCAACCGTGAATCCCGATGACTTCTTCAAGATCACTTACCCCTTCTTAAAGGAGGTTTTCCTAGATCTACCACCTTATCACAAAGACAAAGCCTTCCACCAAGAAGTCTTCGACCAATTCAGACTCTCCGGACTGTCAGAGGATGTTGTCCGCACCTCCTCAGAAGCAGGAGCAGTCGTAGCAGAATGCTTCTATCCAAGCATCCACGATCCACTCAGGCTATCCATAGCAGT